GGTTAATTATACTAATGGTTTTCAAAATATAAATTTGTTAAACAGTGAGTTTAGTTGTACATACACCAAACATAGAATGTGACACATATATCTCATATGGGATGGGTCCTATATGTATCCACATCATGTGGACCCCACGCTATGGAGGCGGGTTTTTTTTTTTTTTTTTGGTAAGATGGAGGCCTAAGCCAAGGAACAAACTAAAAAACTCTCCAATCATGCGTCTCCTGAGCAAGAAGCTGTTTCAAACTTGATGACGGCATCTCCACTATTCTCAACTATGCATCCCCTTGAATAGCCTCCCTAGCTATTTGATCGGCACATCCATTTATCTCCCGAGTAATATAGCTGAGTCTACATTCCCAATTTTTGTCCTAAACCCTCCGAATTTGCAAGACCAGATTATTGGTTGGTCTTGGAATATTACTCCACATTGAAGAATAAGTGTCCTGTTATCTCCTAAAAAGAGACCAAAAAAGATGGTGGGTTTCAATGTTTCAACCAATAAAAATCAAGTTTGAATACCATATCAGCATGCCCCAGGAACAATGAATAATTTTCCCGCATTCAATCTTCATTTTTTTAATTATTTCATTTTGGTCTCTAAATTATGCAATCTATTACACTTAGTTCCTGATGTCAATGTCATTCAAAATTAGTAGGGATACTTTTGAAATTTTACATGAAATCTGAATAAAAATTAAAGTCACCATATACACACACGATCTCAAAATAGAAGGTTTCTGTCTAGGGGGAAGTGTGGATGACTATAGCTAATGGTTTCTCTTGTCCACATACTATTCAAAGTTAAATTTTCCTATAAATATCCCCCCAAACAAGCCTCATTTCTCATCAATTACTTGTGAAATCTTTGTATTCTAAACCAAAAGCCAAGATGGTGCTGTGTAAGCTTTCATTAGCTTTTGTATGTCTCTTGAGCTTAGCCTTGGTTCATCCTTCCTATGCCAAAAACTCACCACAAGACTACCTCAATGCCCACAACGCAGCTCGTGCCCAAGTGGGTGTTGGACCTATGACATGGGACAACAACATTGCCGCCTATGCACGAAGGTATGCTAATTTGAGGAAGCATGATTGCAATCTCATCCACTCCAATGGGCCTTATGGAGAGAACCTTGCTAAGGGTAGCGGTTCATTTACAGGTACCGACGGAGTGAACCTTTGGATAGGAGAGAAGCCTTACTATAACTACAACTCCAACTCATGTGTTAGGGGAAAAGATTGCTTGCATTATACCCAGGTGATATGGAGAAACTCGACCCGTCTTGGATGCGCTAGGGTTCAGTGTACCAATAACAATTGGTGGTTTGTGATCTGCAGCTATGATCCCCGAGGCAACTACATTGGACAACGTCCTTATTAGAGATTGGTGTACTTAATAATTGTATGCATGCTATTTATATATATTACTAGCATACATTTATAAATAAGCTTACAAATAATTAGCACAAAAATAAAACTAAGATGGGGGAGGTATGTTCCTATGTCATGGTTTTGAGTTAAAATAAGTGTAATTTTGGCTCTGTGCTTTGTTCTCTTTAATTGTTTGGTTTTTCTTTTGTTAAAGAGAGCTTATAATTTCATAAATCTGTCCTTTTATTGAAATGTTATAGCACTCATTGTACTAATTTTGTATGTGCATGAACGCTTTCCTGTAATTATTGTGAAGCTTTTTTTTTTTTTTGAGACAAAAAAATTTGGAAGCTAAAAAGGAGATTTGCAACAAAAAAATAAAAAAATAAAATAGTTGCGATGAAATAAATTTCAGGACATTTTCATTCATACTGTCATCATCCAAATTTTATTTATCATTAATAAACCATTTTAAGCATACTGTAAATAGAAAATGGATTCTCACCCGGTCATGCAAACAATTAGATTAATTTAATATTTGTAACAAAATAGTTGAAATCTTAAAAAAATAACAATCAGCATAATTTTGAAATAAGACTAATTTAATTTTTAAAAGATAAGCATGATAAAATCATATAACTAATATTGTTCAATCAATTTGATCTATGCACATGGACTAACAAAATGAACCAATTTGATTATGATTAATTTTTCGAATAATGTTGTGACAACCTTCTGCATTTGAAAATTTTACAAATTTTTTCTTAGTCACAGATAAATCCTCCTCCTGTTTTTTTTTTTTTTCCTTCTTGTAATACAAACTAAATTTAGGGGCATGAAAAAAAAATCCTATTTTAATACAAGTAAAGGTGCCAATTAGGGATTAGGAAAACAAATTTAACTAAAAAAAAAAATTTATTAAAGATGAAAAAAAATGAAAATATACTGACTCAAATACCTGTATTATCAATTCTGAAATGAAAAGTTTATTATCGTTTTCTTTCATCTTTAGTGAACTTTTTTTTTAGTTAAATTTGTTTTGACTTTTTTAGGTGCATCTAATCTTGATGCATCTATAATGTAATAATGTTTATGAATAAATTTGAAAAAAAAGTTCACTAAACACTAAAAAAAAAAAAAAAAATCAATTTTTCTTTTTTTGCATCCTTATTAAATTTTTTACATCACACATGGAGTTGATGTGTTGGAGATGTGTCGGATTTTGTTAGTTTTTTTAATGGAAGTTAGTCTAGGAGTGAAGTAGGAAGGATTGCAAACATAAATGGTCAAAGTGGGAAGAATTGCAAATATGAATGACCAAAGTGGGAAAAACCGAACTTAAAGGGTCAAAGTGAGAAGGATTGCAAACATGACGGGCCAAATTGAAAAAAAATCAAATTTAAAGGGCCAAAATGAGAGATTGATGAAACTTTAAGGGGGCAAAATGTAAGTTATCCAAAAAAAAAAAAGACAAATGCAAACATGTATGTAAATGCCCAAATTGAAATGGCCAATTTTATTTCGTGGTCCATCCATATATACCGAGTTAAGTGAGCATGCTTAGAATTTTGAAGTTCTCTTAAGGTCAAACTTGAGATGATAAAATTATTCCGATACTGGGCTAAGCTCAACATGAGATAATATTGTTGGAACAATCTTAGATCTGTGTAAAATAAATAACTTGAAACCAAATCAAACAAATAAGTGAGAAGGATTGCAAACATGATAGGCCAAATTGGAAAAAATCAAATTTAAAGGGCCAAAATGAGAGATGGATGAAACTTTAAGGGGGCAAAATGTAAGTTACCCAAAAAAAAAAAAAAGACAAATGTAAACATGTATGTAAATGCCCAAATTGAAATGGCCAATTTTATTTCGTGGTCCATCCATATATACTGAGTTAAGTGAGCATGCTTAGAATTTTGAAGTTCTCTTAAGGTCAAACTTGAGATGATAAAATTATTCTGATACTGGGCTAAGCTCAACATGAAATAATTCTATTGGAACAATCTTTTGTGTAAAATAAATAACTTGAAACCAAATCAAACAAATAAAAATAAATTACTTACAGAATTTACTTACTGAAATGAATAAGTACAAAATTGATCAAGTCGAGTGTGTAACATTCTGTCCTTAAGGCAGATTCGCCCCGCTTCGGTGCTTACGGATAAATGGCTTCTATCTCTCAGGATGTAATGATCTATATACAGATTGTAGTAGCACTCCAAACAATCTGTATGACGAACTAGAACTTGTGTTCTATACTCTCAAAAATTTATCTAAAACTAATATGAAGAATAATGCAAAGAGAGAGCAAAACTAGGAAGAGAAAATGAATTTCTGGATGTATACAGCTGGAATGATCAAGTTGGTGACCATAGGATAGATCCGAACATATATGAATTTGAAATGAACAGGTATGGTTTGAAATTTTAATTGTTTGGTGCACTGTTTGAATCTGTTTGCTGGACTGCTGGAAATTGGACCGGACTGTTTGAACTTGCTGGATTGGAGGAGGCACTGTTTTTGGACAAAAAATTGAATTCAAATTTGGCGTAAAATTTGAATTAATTTCATTCAGAAAAAATAATTTTCCCACAATAAATTTTGGAAAAAAATTCAAAATAAATTGTGTCCAAAAAATTAATATTAGAACCGAATTGACCGACACCCAGCACGGTTCGGCCGAACGATGGTGCATGCGTGTGGTGGTTTAAGCCAAGGCTCACTTTGTTCATAACTCTCCCTTCTACAAACTTTGGGTGTCCCTTGGGGTCTAACCCAAGTATTTCTACTTAGAGCTTATATACCCACATAAGTTCACTTAAAGTTTCAATGTGGGACTATTATTTCAAAAAACCTACATTTTATACTTTAATTATCCATTCCACGAATCCGAAAATGATGTCAACTTCCCATTCACTCATAAATGATTTTGACGAACCGTGTGCACCGCGTAACTTGTCACGCGGCAAGGAACACATCACCTATTTGGACCCACACCAAAAGACGTGTGGGCCTCATTCAAATTTGAGCTCAAAGTTGATTCAAAATATGCCTATAAAAAATCATAATTCCAACAATACATATGTTCATAATATGTGGTGGACCCAGGCCGGTTGGATTGATGACTGCCCCTTCTAACAGGTTATTTTATGAAAATGCCAAAAAAAATTGAAGCAGAGAAAATACAAAAATAGTTCTATTTTGCAATGGATTAAAACCCGTTTACACACTTTGGATTAAATACCAAAGTAGTAGAGAAAATGCCCGCCCATTGACACATGAATTGTTTAACCCGTTTACACATGAATTGACATTAGTGACTACTTATTAGACGATCATTAATTCGTATTTTTCTTTTATGAAGCCTGAAATCCTCAAGAATTAGACTGAGTTGCATATTCTCCATCTATAATGCAAACAAACAGCGGAAATATGACAATCTTGAATTTAAAATAGAGATACTTCACCAAATGAATTTTAAACCCTTTCCCATTCTTTCTAATGATTAACATTTTAGAGATAATACATGTTTGAAACTCATCGCCTATCTGATAATTAAAATATTTATACCTATTTAAGCCCTTAACAATCAATCATCAGGATGAAAAAAACAAAAAAAATGAGGAAAGAATGATTTTTTTTTTTTTTAATGATCAATACTTGGGAAGATAGCATTCCAAGGGAAGTTTGTTTTGGAATCTAACATTGTCTTGACAATAATCATATATGAGGTGGTACTTCCTAGCCCACTTGAATAACCTCCTCTGTGTCCCTGTTAGAGTGTTGAACCTCTCATTCTGCCACCAGTTAGTGGTAGAGTTGTCTTCCCCACAAGACTCTGCATCTCCATTCCACACACATGCATCAATTTTGTAGTTCTTGAATGAGGCTATGAATGGACCCTTTGACCAGTCAATCTTGTCGCGGCCACCTCTCGTTGCCCAGTTGTCGCCGTCCCATAGGCTGATTAAAAGTCTCATTGGCTGCCACTGTGGAAATGACACTCCCTTAGCTGTGTAGTTTCTATATGTTCTGATAGGAACCCAATCCACCATGAATCTGCAAGATCTTAAAAAATTAAAAATAATTAAAAAATGTACCACATAACTTGAGATTTAGGATATATGTATGTATATATATTCTGATCCTTCAGCCCTTGAATTCAATCACTTGAGTAATATTCAATTAATTCAAGTAGTTTAGCATTAGTAGTTTGTTAGATACATGTCATCATTCATGATAACATTGAATATTAGTAGGATTGAGAATGAAGGATTTGAACTACTTTACAATACTTTAAGGTAAATAAAAACTGATATACTTCTAACAGAGTACATAAATGTTCTTTATCAATGTAATGTCACCTTTACCAAAAGTACTAAAAAAAAACTAGATGTGAAGTTTTCATCAAAACTGACTTACACAATTTGGTGAAGGTTCCATAAAATAGAGTAGGTATGGAAGTCCTTTGTTGGATCAAACCACAGATGAATTCTCTCTTCCCTATTTGCATTCCCATCAATAATAACATTGGTTTGGAGTATATATGGCTGTCCAATGACATTTCCAAGGAATTCAAAGTCCATCTCATTATCACCATTGGTTTGATTAGATTGGAGCTGCAACACCATACACATGTTATAATTTTTTTTATTTTTTATTTTAATACCCAAGACATTCCAAAGCGATCAATAACAAGCAAGCAAAAAGTTTGGGGAGTTATAAGCAGAAAAAAAATAAAATTAAAAATATATATAAAAATAATAATCTGAAAAGTTGTCAAAAAATAAAGTTTGGGTGTAATTAAAATTAAGTGTGAGTACATTATCCGTATTATTTGTCTCATCTTTTGTTTCATATTCATCATATATATTGTCATGTTATCAAAATTAATTGTTAGAAGAGAATGAGCCAGACAATAATAGAAAGAGTAAGATAGATGTTCCCACACCATTTAATGTGGTATGAGTCACATCTATGATGAATCTAATCTAGTCTACCTACTACATTTTTTTTTATGTACTTTTGGAGTAACATTTTTCAGACTATGTAGCATTACTGAAAACTAAATATGGTGACACAATTTTATATGGTTAATAAGACTGACGAAATGAATGGGGTGAGACTGACCTTGTCTCCCACCTAACTAACTACATAATTTTCATTTAGGTTCCGTTTGTTTTGATGTTTTACTCATTTTCTGTTGATTGATTGAACAAAAACTAAGTAAAATATTTTTTAAAAAAAATATTTTTACATCATTTTCTCAAAATTGACTTACCTTTAAAATATCGTAAGTCAATTTTTATAAAATTGACTCTCGCTCACTATCTTTTCAACACATTTAGCATTTTCAAATAAGTATCTTAACTTATTAAAAAGTCATAAATGACACTTTATTAAATCAAAATTTCTCTTTTAGGCAATAAAATATTTTTGTTTTAAATATCAACCAAATGCCGAAAAACAAAAATAAAAACATATTTTTTTGTGTAAAATATTTTATCGAAACAAACAAAACCTTAATCTTTTTAAATGTACATTGGTTATAACCCAAACATCCATATTTTCAATCTCAATTTTTTAGTCCAAAAAGACAAAAAGTGCACTTATTTAGTCTTCCCAAACTTGGCCTTAGCATTTTCAAATAAGTATCTTAACTTATTAAAAAGTCATAAATGACACTTTATTAAATCAAAATTTCTCTTTTAGGCAATAAAATATTTTTGTTTTAAATATCAACCAAATGCCGAAAAACAAAAATAAAAACATATTTTTTTGTGTAAAATATTTTATCGAAACAAACAAAACCTTAATCTTTTTAAATGTACATTGGTTAGTGATGCCACATAACATATATCAACGTTGCACTCAATAAATGAAAGATTAACATGAAAATGAAGAGAGGAAAAGTTTACTTACGTAGAAGGCCACCACTGTGCCAGCTGAGTCACCTTCTATCAGCTTAATTTGCATGTTAAACTGACCAAATAGGAAAGTATCATTGGAGGCAAAGCCTGAGCCTGTAGAGAAGTTTCAAAGTCCAAAAATTAAGAGAATTAAACATTCAAGTGATTAGTAAAATTTGAAGTCTATGTAATTTTCTAGAGAAAGTTACCTGACTCATTGTCCAGCTTTAAGCTTCTCAATAAGCCATCTGCAGAAGTGTTTACATGGCTAGGAGACCACGTCACGATGAAGTCCTTATCGAAATCTCCTTTTGATACAACAGAAGAAGCTTCTGAATTTTGAACCAAATGCATGGCAAGAACGCCGATAATGGCTATAAATCTCAGATATTTTTTCATCATTTGTGTTTTATTGAATTCAGATGAATGAATACAACATACATAATCAACATGCTTATAAGCTAGGTTTGTTTGTGTATATATATAGAGGTATTGCAAGGTGGGGTTGGAAGTGTGAAGAGAATTAATTAAGGTTGGTTTGGTTAAGCAAAATGATGTAATAAGAAAGCTTTAGAAGGAAGCAAAGGAATGTTTTAGCTAGCTGTAGCTTATAGTTGGCAAAGGAATGTTTTAGCTGTAGCATATACAGTTGGTAGGGTTTGTTCGGGTCCTCTTAGATTATTAGATAGGTACTTTTTTTCAAAGTGTGTCTTTTGTTCGGAATATTTAACATCTAGTTAACCTTGGGTGGGAAAAAAAAAAAACAAACAAACAAAACAGAAAAAACAAACCAATAAATATAAATTGTAAATCACACAAACAAAAATTCAAGATTATGTGATTCACCTTAAAATTAGAGTTAACGCTGATTTCACTATCATTAGAAAGAGTTACAAAATGAAATTCAAAGATGATTTCCGGACAAGTGAGATTCTAATATGCTAGTAATTATTGCAGAGAATCTTGATATATTGTCTTTGATAGCAGCATAATTCATGTTATAACTATCATTTCTTCTACCTGATTACTCATTATTTCCTCTCAAGGGATTAAGAAATTCTCATTTACTTATAATTATTACATATTATTATCTGGAACTAAGTGCATGTTGCTTATTATACAATTTTAATTTTAATTTTGTTAGGTTACCTGCAGGGGAAGGGAATAGCTTTATGTCCAAGTGGCATGCTTTCAGGGGCTTTGAGGTTGCTTACTCTATGGTCATGTAAGCCCTTTTTTATGAACATGCCATTTCCAAGTTTGAAGCTAAAAATTTCACTTGGTGACAATAAGAAAAGTGGCATAGGAGAGGAAGAGATCTAGATGAGAGAGAAAATGAAAGAGAAAATATCATGTACGGGGAGCAAATATTCCGGCGAGCCCGTACTCCTTTCTTCCGAGCTCCGTCTCTGTCCGATCACCTGCGAGCCAATAAGGGTGAGCTACCCGGCGGTGTGTGGCCGGAAAAACCCTCCGACGATCAAGTTAGAACACACACACAGAGGATAGCTAGAGAGAAGGGAGAGAGAGTTTGGGTGTAAGAATTCCTTACAGAGATGTTCGTCTGTTGCGTATGGGGGGCGCAGACATGCTTATATACCTTCTGAGCCCCATATCTACTCCCAGCCATCTCCTGTCACGTGGCTCTACTATCCCATCTGTCAGCATAAACCATGCCATTCATCACCTAACCTCAACTGCCTGTCATCACAGCTGGAGCTCGGCAGCCGAGCTGCTCTACCTCGGTCATGCCATGCGTCATACTTCAAGCGCCTAACCGGATAAACACACGGAGGACCGGGCTAGGCGGCATCCCGGCTGAGCCTACCCCGGATACTTTGATCGGCCTTCTTGTCGGTCAAACAGTCTCCTCGGCTGACCATGCCTTTCCGGGCATCGGTCACTCAACTTCCTCGGTTGCCCACGCCTTCCCGGGCGCCGGTCACTCGGCCAATCGAGCTTTGGCCATCTTCGGACCGAGCATCCTGGTCTAACCGAGCACTGCCTTACCAAGCAGTTTCTGTCCGGTCCAGGGTGACACACTCAGCCCGAACTCTACCCGGCCCAAGTCTGGGCAGAAAGTCGATCATCTCGGACCCACACATCGTTGGGCCCTCAACTTGCTCGGCCGTTACCTCGGCCCAACTCCAGATCACAAATCACCCTCTCATATCATATCAAAGATAAATGGGGCACAAATTTTGCAAATCTTGACTGAATTGTAATTTTCTAAACAGTTAAAATTTGCATCCGAAAAAAGTTCTCACCCAATAAGCAGTCTTTTATACTGAATTGTTATTTTCCCAAAAAAAAAATGCAAGAGGAAAAGAAAATGCTTAGAAAATAATATTTCTTTTAAGTTTTTGCAAGGCCAAGGTATTGAAGTTTTACAGAAGACAAACTATGGCTTCTAAGAACAACTTCATTACCACTCATTTTGTATTAGTTAAAATACAGCGGGAAAAAATGTACACATTTTATTTTACCTAATCATTTTTCCATTTATGTACTCCAATGTTACACTTGATTTTATCTATTTATCTATACAAACTGTTTAAATTTTTTTTGTTAAAATATCTATTGTAATAGAAAGTTTGTTGAAGAGAGTAAAATAAGATGAGATTAGTTACAACAACCAATAAATCTTTTTAACAAAAGTCTAACAAATTCTATCAACAAAAGACTCTATTTTGCTTATAAATTATATTATATGTTATGTTATGATAGGGCTTAATCATTATGACTTCATAAGCAATGAAGATCCATAGTAAAGCATAACAACATCATTGTCACTACTGTGGACAAATGAAGGAACTGAGTTTTCAAATTTTGTATCATTAGTCTTGGATACCTTGTCAGCAATTATATGGACTACCAAGAAAACAAAAAAGGATGCAAAAATCATCTGGAAGCCTTTTTCAGTCGATCAACCGGTTGATTCTAAGCTTTTTTCGGTTGTCCAATGACAGTTTTAAAATATTTTCATGATACACTTTTTTGTTGTCTCTAACATTTTCGTTCCTTATTTTTTAGGAAAGAAAGTACAAAGTGGAGAATATAGGGAGTTAACTGTTACTTTAATCCAACTTCCAATCATTATGAATTAAAGATAATTGTAAAAACCAGAATTAACACAGATCAAATAAGTGCAGAGTAGCTGCGGAGGAGGTAGTTGCAGAGGTTGAGTTCACTAGATTAATATTGAAAATCATGTAGCAATATTGCTCTTTGTTATCATTGCCCAATTGCAGACATAAATTCAACCTTTCCAGTGTAGATGAAATTCTAGGAATAAATGACTATAAAAAATAACTAGCTAAGAAATCATATGATCTTTTAAATAATATTTTTATGTGCAAGTTTAAGTTAATTACAAATTAACAGATGGAGGATTTGCATTCAAACACTTCTCATATTTAAAATAATGGAGAGGCTTGAGTTTGTGCCTTAACATTGTGTAATGTAATTTTTTCTTTTTTTCTTTCCCTTTCTCTACCTTCCTATCAATTATAAAGAAACAATTTTTGTAATTAATGGAATAAATTGAAACAAAATGTAATCAAGATGTTTGAATTATAATTAATTACATAATTGAGAGGCCGAAATGTAATTCAAAATAGGCTTAGTTGATACTACTTTCAAATTGAAAGTTGATAATTAAAAAGTAAAAATTAAAAAATTTCATTCTTTTTCAACAATTAGCTCTTTTTAAATTTATTTAATTTATTTTTATCTCATAAAAAGTTAACCAAACATTATGATAAAAATGGAACGTTTCGAAACTCCAAATTTATTTTATTTTATTTGGGTAACTAAACCCCGAATTTATATGGGTTCAAAAGATCCTAAGTTGAGTTTTCAATCCTACAAATATATATATATATATAGGGAAAAAAAAAAAAAGAAGCACACTTACCAATAAAATTGTCCATTTTGATATTAGACTTTGTTAGTGAGTTGATTGTCCACTTAAATATTAATCTCTTAATATTTGTAAATATTCTTTACTGATCCATTATAAATAAATATATAAAATATAATTAATAAAAAAAATAAAAAAATTACAAACCAATATATCTTTCAAAAAGTAATTACAGATATTATAAAGTTTAGGAACAATTACCAAAAAAAGTGCTTAGGTACCGTCACCGGGATTGCAACGATTTACTCGGCTATACCCCGACGTATAGGTATTCTGCCCCGCGCCGGAGTAGAGTAACCGACTTCCTCAGAGCTCCTTCGCCACCTCCAGATCCAACCCTACCCGACGTCCCGCTAATCCGGCTGACAGACGAGCAAGAGATGGCCAAAAGAAGTCGAATCAAAAACCTGCTCACCGCCACATCCGCCGAGGTGCCGAGCGTGGTAACTCGGTCGCCAGCCGCCGGTCAATCCAGTGGCGCCGTGGTCGCCCTTGCCACTCAATCCGCCGGGCAATCCAGCCGAGAAGCCCCTGTACGTCGGGCCGGAAAAAGAGCTCGGGCAGACCCGTCCGCCAAGCTAGTCACCGAGCACCCAACTGACGCCCCCGCCCCAGTGCCGGTCTGGCGCCCACATTTGAAGCACCGGGGTCAGGACATCCCGGCAACGGCTTCTATCAAAGCTGACAAAGAGCATTTGCTCGCCTTTGATCTGACCAAGGCCCTGCTGCTACCGAGCGACATGGTCGGCAACGACCACGTCCCAGACACCCGGTTGGTCAAATCGTCGGTGAAGTCCATGGCCAGGGTAAGTGGATGTTGCTTTGAAAAATTTCATAAGTGTTTGTTCGGTTTTCTTTCTGCTCGGTCTCCTTTCTGATCAACTTTGCTTCTTTGTGCAGGCCATTCAAAAACAACACTTGGTTTTGGAGCGCATCCACCGGCTTAGGCAGAAAGCCAACGACACTGCCAGCCAGGTTGAAAGCCTTCAAGCCGCGCTCGGCCGGGCTAAAGCTTCTCTCGAGATGGCCAATGCGGATAATAATAGGCTGCTCGGTCAGCTGAATGCAGCCGAGAAGAAACAAAGTGAGCTCCAGACCGAGGTGGACACCCTCAAGAAGTCAGAGAAGAAAGCTTGCCGGGCTGCTAACAACGCCGGTTTTAACGAGGCCGAGCAGATCTATAAAAAGCAAGTCTTCGCTACTCAAGACATCTACTTCAAGGCCGGCTGGAAGTCCGCCTGCGAACACCTCGGCCAAGGCTCCGACACCGACGTATTTGCCAACCCTCCTCCAGCTTCGCTACCGGTCTACCTTGTGCCTTACGCAAACGACGTATTCAGCGCCCTGCAAGCGGAGGCCGAGGAAGGACTTGAGGACGGAGAGGGTGACACAGATTCTGAGGCAGAGGAGGCCGAGGTGCAAGAGCAGCCCGGCAATGCTGAGCCCGGTGTCGAAGACGTCAGTCCTACCATCAACCTGGATGCTGGCGAGGACGAGTTCACCAATCTCTCCCCCCTAGTTTAGTTCTCTTGTTCTTTTT